TCTTGCAAAATGTCTCTGCATCCCATTGCTTTTAAGTTGAAGTAAAAAGTTATATGCGGAAACAGTAAACTATGCCATGAAGAGGTGACAGCTGATTTCAGTCAATAATTTGTCAGAACTGAATTTAACCTGAAAATGCTTTTTTTTTTTTTTTTTTTTATACTTTTGCACTTAAGCAATATTGTCTCATTAGTATAATTTTTTTATCCTTGAAAGTATGTTTTTTTTTATTGTAAATTATTATTAACTGTAATGTAAATTAAAAACTCTTCTTAATTATCCTAATTACAGTAAGCCACTAAATAGCTAGCTGTTAAGACACTCATGTCTAGCAAATACAATGGTGTGTCACATAATCAAATGAGTGTAATTCTATCAACCAGAAGTTGCTCAACTTTATGTAGCACTGCACTGCAAAAAATGGAAATCTAAATAAGTATTTTTTTCAAGACAATTTACATTTAAAATAAGAAAAAACAATTGCACTGTCTTATTTTAAGTGCAAAATTTCAAATTATCTTATTTTACGAGGAAAGAATCTAATTCCATTGAAAACTCAACTTATTTACCTGCTCGAAAAAGGAGTAAATACACTTAATTTAAGAGATTTTAACTTATTTCTGGATATTTTTTGCCATGTGATTGCTTTGGCTTTACTCACACATTTGACACATTTTTGCAAGATATTTTCAGCTAAATATTTGCAGGTTTTAAACATATATTTTTTTTGTCAAATTAAAATAAATAAATGACTACTATACTATATTATTGCACAGGACAAAAATTCAGGGTTTTAAATTTAATGTAAAATTCTAGCAAGACCACATTTCTTTTTAAATAAATTGTAAAATGTCTGTATGATCTGGTGAACTGTAGAGTGCCTTGAGGTGACATGTGTTGTGAATTGGCGCTATATAGATAAACTGAATTAAAATAATTGTAAAGTGAAGAAAGAGAAAGATGGCTTATTAGAAACATTCTAATAAGCCATTCTTTTTTATTAGTTCTTGCATGTAAAGAATTGGTTAAAATAATATAAGGATATAAGACATTTCTCACTCTTTCCATTAATGACATTTTTGTCCTGGTTCACATAATGTTATTTTTTATTTAGCCAAATCTGTTAATAATCTTCAACCTACGGTGATTTATGCTTTACAATAGCATATAGTATATTGGATACAATATACAATAGTACTATGAGAACATGGGCAGGAGAACACCTAACTGTCAGTAATTTTCCTACTAAGGTTCATGTTTACTTATATGTCTAATATAATACATGCCTCTAATTATTTATAAAAGTAAATCAAATAGCTTAGTAAAAATGTAAAGTATACTACTCAAAACCTAGAAATTTCACATGTGAAATCAACATATTTTTTAAATTATGGCCAGCTGAGCAATAAGCCCTGATCTAACTCTGCACTTTTTTACCTTGCACTTCAAAGAACTGTTACTCATCTCAGACCTTAGATCCGTCTTGACAGGGTTTGGACTGGTGGGTTTGGAGGTCCTCTTTTTTCTCCAGGAGGCCTGAGGAACGGAAGGAGCTGCAGCTTTGTTAAACAGATGTTCCCGCTCAGCTCTAATCCAAATTACACAGCAAAGCTGGGAGCCACTGGCCACAACCACATAGATGCTGATTGAATGGCAAGGAGGGGGCAAGAAAAGCAGATCCGGCTCAATAAAGCAGCCACATCACGAAATCTGGTCAGCCTTTGAGAATAAAGATGAGACTAAAAGGGAAGCTAGAGGCTTTGGCGTTGGTGCTTCACTGCAGATTTGAGTTATTTTGTTTTCGATGTTGGTTTATAGAAATGTGAGTTTATTTCCCCAGTTCTGTTGAAGGGAGACCCATTTATCAGATTTAATCATAAATACAGATACAATTACTTTTATACCATTAAGGCACTATTTTGAAAGGTATTAGGGGAACAATACTCGCTATTCTAAAAAAGTTCTGATGATTATATTACTTTTCTCAGGGATTCCAGCTTATTATCCTCTGTCTACGTAGAGAAAAGTTTGATAATTTGCTGTAGCGGCTTAATATTTTATTATCTCATACTTCAACTGTGAAAGCTCATGTTATAAATGGATACATGGCTAAAAATGGATTGAGAAAGGTTAAAATTATGCTACAATTATCTACCATGAAACCCCTTGTATTTATTTACTTTTAATTTACTTTCATGTTATTTTCCAGGCAATCTCTTTTCGTTTGACATGCTTTATATTTTGTTTGAATTAAATTACTAGGCTTGAGGTCTTGAAACGGGTATTTGTTTTGCCGTCTTTTGCAAATGAGGACTATTATGATATTGCATTTGCACTGATTCTATCATTTTGGGCCAAGGCAGCTCTGACATCACACCGTAGGTTATAAAAAGCAAGGGAGCCCTCTGTTCACCGGCTGCTGTAAAGACCACCCTCAGCTGAGTAAATAGTAAACCCGTGTGGCAGCATCCTTACTTTTTGAAGCTGCCCATCTACCACATCTGCATTATTTCTTTGACAAAAAAGTGTGTAAAAGCTTGAAACGATTTATCTACTGATTTTCAGTTTGAAAGGGGTTGCAAACCGATTCCAAAGAGATCTCTCTTTCTCTCTGCTTTTTATTTTCCTTTTTTGTGATTTCTGGACCCGTCACCACACAGCTCTTTTTTGCACTACCCTTCTCTCCTTTCTCAGAGAGAAACAGCAGAGAAGATCATCGGGGCTCCTCTTCCCTCCATAAAAGACATTTCATCCCAGCGCTGCATGTCCCGAGCCCGTAACATTATCAATGACCCCTCACACCCCCACCATGGACTGTTCTCCCTGCTGCCCTCTGGGAAGAGGCTTTGCAGCATTCGATGCAGGTCCAGCAGACACAAACTCTGCATCACACTGATACTATCGATCCATCCACGCTTTATCCCAAGTGGGGCTGTGAGGGGTGCTGGTGCTTATCTCCAGCTGTCTACAGGCGAGAGACGGGGTACACCCTGGATGCATATTTTTTGCATCATGGTTTTTTTCTCCCACACTGTTAACATTTTGTCCCTGCTGCACTTTATGAAATGGAAATGTTCGTTTACTGTCTAAATGAAATTAAAAAAATTTTTATACACTCTGTGTATACAAAGTGACAATAAAAGTTGTCCAAGTCTAAGTCTCTGCCATAAGCATATATACGGTTGGGGTCCTATGTCTGAGAGGGGTAGTGTCCTGCAGCTAAGCCAGGACCTACTGTTGTTTAACATGTTCCACATTCACCTCAGTGTTGTGGTATTTCATATTTTCTATTGTTTAAATTTAATCATTATTTAATACTAGAATTAAGCTAAAGTGTATTTAATTGTCTGGAAATCCCAGCTATTCAACTTTCATATTTTTTGCTGATATTTCTTTGTTTTTCTTTCTTCTTTGATTAATTAAGTCTGTACCAGTTAGTAGTGTTGAAAATAATATTGTTTGTAATGGAAAATTATTTGTTTTTAAATCATTTTAGCTCAGATAACATTGAGTTGTCTATCCTTTCTTTTCTTTTTCTGATCACTATAGTCTAATACTGAACCATTCTTTAGGGTTAACATCTTGCTTAGACAGACACATTTATTGTGGCGCAGGTCAACAGCTGGTTTAATTAAAAACATTTAGTAAACAGAGTAAATAATTATAAATAATAAATAATAATAAATAAGGCTATGATCATATTATATTTACATACAGTATACATACAGTATATATATATATATATATATATATATATATATATATATATATATATATATATATATATATATATATATATATATATATATATTCTGTGTCATTATAGTTATTGATAATGTTAAAGATAATAAAGGAATAATTGTAAAACAATTATCAATTAGTTTAAGTGGTTAATCCAGTAAAAAAATGTCATATATAAAGAGAAATTGAATTTAGTTTTCTCTCATGTTCTTGGCACTGATGACTGGCTTAATTATTAATTTAATTCACCTGTCTAACTCTAATGTCTAACTGCTCCTTCCCTTATTTAAGCTTCTTGCATCCAGTCATCAGGGCCAGATTATTCTTGTTCTCTTGTGCCAGCGGTGAGAGCATTTTTAGCGTACCTTAGTGTTTCTGATTTCCTGATCCTGACCTGTTCTGCCTCTCAACCACTGAGCCTGCCTGTCTCTCTTCTCCCTTGCCTGACCTGGCTTTGGACTCTTGGACCTCTTAGCCTACCTGTTCCTGTTCTAATCTGTTTGCCTGACCTGTCTTCGGACTCTTGGACCCCTGAGCCTGCCTGTTCCTGTTCTGATCTGTTTGCCTGACCTGGCTTCGGACTCTTGGACCCCTGAGCCTGCCTGTTCCTGTTCTGATCTGTTTGCCTGACCTGGCTTCGGACTCTTGGACCCCTGAGCCTGCCTGTTCCTGTTCTGATCTGTTTGCCTGACCTGGCTTCGGACTCTTGGACCCCTGAGCCTGCCTGTTCCTGTTCTGATCTGTTTGCCTGACCTGGCTTCGGACTCTTGGACCCCTGAGCCTGCCTGTTCCTGTTCTGTTTGCCTGACCTGGCTTCGGACTCTTGGACCCCTGAGCCTGCCTGTTCCTGTTCTGATCTGTTTGCCTGACCTGTCTTTGGACTCTTGGACCTCTGAGCCTGCCTGTTCCTGTTCTGATCTGTTTGCCTGACATGTCTTCAGACTCCTGCTTGTTCTCCGTCTCCGGAGTTTCAACAATTGTTGTTGGCAGCCCACCGGCTGGACCCTACCTTGTACTCAGGACACGGACTGAACTTGTAAACCAGAGTTTCCCTGTGATAGATGGCCTAGCCGCTGTTACTCCGGTTACTCCAGTTTTTAACTGGTTACTCCAGTTTTTAACTTTAACTGTTTTTAAATGAACACTATTTGAATAATTCCACTGTCTGTCTTGCCTGAATACCTGTTCTGAGTCGTGACACTTTCATATTTTCTGTGCAATCTGAGAGCTAACAATTCAATGAAAAGTTCCATTAAGAAGACCTGACTAACTTCAAGATTTATTTAGTGTTTGTGACAATATAGCATTTTGAAAAGTTGCATTTGTTTATTTTTTGATGTGATTTTTTCCCCTCATAAATAGCTGAGGAACACATGTTTCAGTCTCCAGCAAACCATATTTACATCCAGTGAAACCTAAAATTCAGAGCTTCAGACTTGAAAAAACAATCAAAAGTTTTTTAAAAAGTAGCATACGGTATATACTGTATTTAATCAGCATACAGTTACTTTTACAAGTAGAAAGAAAGCTTATCATGTTTTAGATAAATTGGGAGCATCCTGTCCTTGTACTAAGTCTGTACTCACTATAGGTTAGTAGAGAATTAGGATACAGAATTAAAAAAAATCAATATTATCTCTAAAGTTTATGTAAAGGTTATTACTTTAAATTGTTAGGGGACTAGTCTTAAAATGGAAACAAACTCAAAACCACATTATGCATGACATTAATAAGCACTTTGAACAAGTTCTGACATTTAAAAAATGCATTTTATGTACCATCCTATGAGGCATTTTGTTATAATGAGCATATACATAAAATCACTAATTTCTCTTCTGTAGCACCTGGTGTGAACAAAGCCCTGCAGTCATCAACCCTCTTCCATTTCTGTAGATAACCTGCCTCAGCTTTGAATTAAACATTTATCTTGTGAAATTTAGCACAACAGAAACATACTTTTACAGTTCCTGTTCTCAAAGAGTATGGCTGGATTAGAGCACATTAATCACGCATAATGATGAGCCTGTACTCTCCTCTGGGAATAAACTGTACTAAGAAGCACCAGTCCTTTTTTGCCTACAGCGTCGGGGTTGGGGGTGGGGACAGCTTTGTACATGGTCCCCATTGGTGCAAATGGGAACTGCTGGTTGACATCAACTACCCAAGCATAGCAAACATTTCACTGGGATTACTTCAAATTGACTTCCAGTCTCAGTCTGGCCTCTAGGAGGGAAAGATGGAGGAAAGAGTGGGAAATAAAAATGAAAGGTGAGCAGAACAGCGTCAGCTCTGTTAGTTTAAAGCAGCATTCACATGATAGCTTGAAACCAAGGGATGACCTGAAAGAAATTAGTACTATTTACGGATCATCAATGTTGAGCTTAAATAGTAAAAAAAAAACTGCTGAGTTACAAGTTTAGGTGCTTGACTATGATTTTCCTGGCTGACTCAAAGCTCCATTCCTGCTCTGCGTAGGGTGCGGCCCATTAAAACCAGCAGAAACTCTTAACTTGGGCTGGGTTCTCTTGCTGCATGCTTGTCCTCAAAGTCAGTGGGCTCCACTCCTGTTCCTGCTGAACTGAGCCAGTTTTCAGGTAAAACACTGATACCAGTTCAGTAGGCACAGGAGGGCACAGCCCTGCCTCTCCTTCACAGGTCAAACTTCAATATATGAAATGCTGCAAAAATCAAAATGACCTTATGTATAGATAAAAGACAACCAAGTTTATCATAAAAAATATTGTACAATAATTCCTCTACAACAGATCAGATGATTTTAATAAAAACAATAATGAAGTCATGAAAACAGTTGAAAGGTTAAGAAATAGTAAGGATCATGTTTGGGATATTCCTGTCATTAGACCTTTGTCCAGACGTCTATCGTTAACAGTTTGTCCTCTGTTCTAAGTCGCGTCTTACTGACATTGCTGGGATTTTTATGGAGAGGTTCGGAAAAGTGTAATACAAAAGCTAGCATGTTTAACCTATTTTTTTTAAATTAGACTTGTTAATAATTTAGCTTGTAATTCATCTAAATGTTCTTTTGGTTAACTGTTACTTCACAAGAATAGGAAACGCTCTTAGCAAGACTATGGAAATTAATGACTAGAGTTTTTGGCTCTTTTCTGGTCTGTATTTAGATAATGTGCAACATGATTCAGACACAAAAAAAAAAAGGTTTCACAAAAATCCATACTTATTAAACAAATATAAGCTCAACCCATCATGCAAGTGGCACCCACAAATATAAGTCACAGCTTTTCATAAAGATTCTGCACGGTTATTTTTTTACAGATGGTGTCTGGAGTTAAGTCTGGGCCTCCAATGACAGCAATCTCAAAAGGATAGATTTAGTACCCAATCTGTTTTGTCCAATTTCATCTTGTTTTACAACAAAACTTTAGAAAAGCTGAAATATTTCGTACAGACATTTATAAAGCACAGAATGTGCATGGAAAAATATGTAAAGCCTACACATATAAAGCATGATAACAATAACCGTACTGCTGACTAAAATGTGTGATGATTCCACATAACGCAACTCAAATTGGGATAAAACAGTATTTGAGATCATCAAAACAAAAATGAAGCCCAAGCTCAAAAAATTAAATAATACCAATAGAAAAATGGGACTGCATGTAAAGTGCTATGACACACTTAAAGAGTTAAGTTACATTTTTAGAAAAACTCTTTTCAAAATGGATTTTTCCTGACAAATAGAAAATAAGCTCAATACCAAAGTACAAAAACTGTGACAGTCTCAAAAAGACTTTTAGAGATATGGGCAGGTTTTTCTTGCCCAATTGACAGTATGACAGTAGTTGAGATACATGTGCCTCCTTGCCTGATTATATGTATACATCAGGTAGCAAAAAAGTTTTAGACTAATACTTAAAAAAAGTGAAGTTTAACTACCGTAGTAAAAAGTGCTTCAGTTTTCTTTATTTTAATATTTCATTATAAATAACAGTGTTTCATTTCACCAAATTACATTGAAGTTGATTAATTGCAGCTGTACATCCATACATCCATAATTTTATGTAATGTTAACAAAAAAAAATCAGTCTCACGCTTATGGTGTGAGATTTATATATTTCAAGAATTAAAATACATCTTTATTAGAGTTTATAATAAACGTGGTAGTTACTGTATTTTTTTTAATTAAAATTTACTTATTTTTTTACTGAAAAAATTCCTAATCATAAAAGTCAGAGCAATGTAAAAGTGCTTTAAAATATTATACACTGTATGGGTCAGATTAGTTTTGATTGTGACGGCCTATATCACAGTCTTCTCATCCACAAGAAAAGAAAATTCAAGCAAATTCAATTAACACAGTGAATGATGAAAACAAAGTAATAATGACAGTGAATAAAAATATAATTTTATTTATCACTTTCTAGGCAGCATATTTATGTTATTTTTTTATTCTAAATGAAAAGAATTAAATGTCTGAGAATTTAATTTAATTGTTTTTATCTTATAATCAGTTGTACTTTCTATTTTTTGAAAATAATCAATACATTTGACGCAGGGGGAACTGATGGTATGATTAAAATGGCCAAGGGGGTACAGAAGTCCAAAAAGGTAGGGAACCACTGCTTTAGGTCATAATGGTGACATGATTGTATTTGAACCTCATCCCCTACAATACTCTCCTTCCTACTTTCCTCCTTAATTCCTTCATCTTTCACCTTTTCCGAGATCATCAAGTTCTGTCCATCCACTGGAACAAATCCTCGACGTCGTATCAACTATTTCACCTCGGGCACTGAACTTAGCCACTGTGAACAACACATTGAAGGGATCAATGCTCACCAATTAGCTAAGCTCTGTGCCCTCAGCAAGTGGGTGGCTGGCTGAGATTTATGCAGACCTTTACGTGAGAAGTCGGCAGTGAAGTCAGTGGTCTCGGAGCCAGCAGTTCAAGCAACGTTTTTCAGAGGGCATAGTGCTGTGGAGGATCTTCACTTATTTCATATATCTTGAGAAATTCCTTGCTTATGCTGTAAATCTAAAATCCCACCTTGTCTTGTGGGGCTCTGGTTTGCATTTACACCCATTTCCTGGGACATTAGAGCGGAGAGTGGGGAGACTAGTTTAAATTTCAAACAGCTGGAGCCTTAAATACACACAGAAGCGATCAACCTTTTAGAGGTCTGCTGAGATGGTTGATAAAATTCCTGTTTAATTTCTTTAGCACTCTAGAGTCCGGCCTGAGAACGCATGCAGCCAAGAGTGAAATGTGAGGTTGGGTCAGGGTTCCCACTGAGCTGTCAAGGAGTGGAAATCCCTGGCAATGTGATTTTTGTTTCTCTTTGTGCATCAAATCACGGTGCCAGGAACCCTCCCCTAAGCAGCTAGACCAGAGGCCTGGTCTCCACCTCTCTGCCCTTTACCCCCCTCTGCTCTCTTGCACGGTTTTTGGACTCTGGATGTTTCTCTTATGCAGCAGCTGTGGAGCACCTGTGACCAAGAAAAAAAAAAACAAAAAGAGGAGATTTTAGTTCCATTATTTCTCTCTTTGAAACAAAACCTTCTAGTCTAGTCTTGTCTTGATGATAGTGTATGATGCACTTAAGAGCCCTCATCCATGCTCTGCAGTGGACGATGATGCAACATAATATGTGTAACAGAAAAATTGCATTTGTGAGATAAGATAAAAAACTCTATGGGCTTTTTGTTGCAGAGATCAGCGGGAGGCAGCAGATGTTTAGTCCAGCCAAAACATGCAAAGCCAGCTGCTCAGTTATTAAAGAGCAACCCAGAAACAGGTAGCAGTGCACTATCGGTTTATTTTTAAGGTGGGAAAAAAGAGTCAAAGCAGTTTTCCTTGGTTTAAGGTTTTATATTAGTTGATGAGTTCAAGAGGGTAAATGTAGGACTACAAAATCAATTCTGCTCTTTTTACAACTTCCTCCTCACATATTTGTAATATAATTTTGCACATCTATCCTGTCTGTTGTTGTTTTCCTTGCCGTCTTCCTTTTTTGCGGCTCTGCAGGGGAAATTCTCGGACCACCAAGTTGGGGCAGAATTAAAAATAGGATTGTTGAGTGGTGATGGGGAGGAGGGATGAGGAGATTTGGGCCAGGTATCAGCAGTTTCTTCTCGCTTTATTTTTACTCAGGATCTCTTCTCTATCACTTCAGACTTTAAACCATGCAGGCTGGTGGATGGGGACATTTCTGTCAGGAAAAGTCTGGAAATCTTTTCAATTTAATGCAAGATTTTCCTCTATATCAAAACAAATCTAGATATTATCCATACTTACCAGAACATATTAATTCCATCCATAGACTTTTTTTTCAAATACAAAGAAACTATGAGAATCGCAGTCTTTACAAATGAAACATTCAATAAAAAAAGTTTAACTTTTCTTGTTTTTCTGCACAAAATGACTGTGTCAATACAGAGAGCCTTAGTACATGTTGTACAACATTAGAAAAGGCATGCAGACGTCTCCCAGACAGAGAAATATGCCTGTGCTGTCAAGCAGTGTCAGCCACTCCCTGCACAAGAATCATGAATAAAAATGTGTGTGTGTGTAGATTGTGAGATTTGGAACATAATGTTGTGCATCAGTGAACAGCAAAGGCAGAGTGAGGAATTGCCTGCGTGTGCATGCTTCATTTACATGCATGACTTCTGACATTTTTTCTCTAAGAAAGAAAAAAAGAGAGAATATGCTGAGGTTGTCTGAATAAAGGGAGAGGCCACTGCCCTCTAACACCGCGGTGAGTCATTGTTTGTTTGGTGGGTGTGAAAGTCAAAATTGGAAATGAGTAATTGGTGAGGTCAGTGTGAGATTAAAATGAATTATTGGTCACATTTGCCATGAAGTAAGTGTAACATAGTGCATATTCGGAAAGTAAAGGGGATAATTTAAGCAATCTAAATTCAGTTATACAAGAACATCTCTTAAGACTCATGGTCTCATTTACAAGAGAGGCAATAAACCTAAAAAACCAACAGTGATAAAACTAAATTAAAAATAATATTTATAGAATCCAAAACGTACTTCTGAAGATGAATGCCATGCAACACCAGAAGGTGTTTTACTGAAAACAAGTACAATTGCCTCCAAACAAGTTTACGTTTCCTTTTATCAAAAATTTTAACTCACCAAGTGTGACAAAATTAGAGAGCCTCAGGTCCCACTTGAAGCATGTTTGAAACAAGTGGAAGGAGAAGACTTTTTTTAGCAAAGTTCATTATGTGCTGACGGAACATAAAATGTTCTTTAGAGCAAAATAGTATTAATGCCTTTTATGTGAGATGTTGCATTACAAGTATGACAGAAAAAGAGAGAAAATGGATCTATTACTATGATTTTCCCCTTCTGGACTTTGAGTTTTGAGTTTTGAGTTATCTATATAATTCTGTCTTGTTGATCTTTGGTTTATTTTCCATTTTGTTTTATATTAAAGCTGTGTTACAATTTAGTCTGTGTGGCCCCTTTGTTGTCTAATTTTAAAGTTACTTTTATCCACACCTGCTCCATATCAGCTCATTAGTCAATTCTTTGTTCTTTCCCCCATATATACACCGCCTCTGCAGTTCCTCTTTGCTTGTTTCTTGTTGTTACTTAGCTCTCCATGTGCATTTTCACCTGATGTCTCCTGGTTTTTTGGTTTGTTGTATTTTGATTCTTGGATTTTGTTTCTCTTCACCTTTTGATTTCATTAAACTTGCAAGAACTCATCTCTGCCTCCCTCATCTCTACAGGTGCTGGTCATAAAATTAGAATATCATGAAAAAGTAGATTGATTTCAGTAATTCCATTTAAAAAGTGAAACTTGTATATTATATTCATACATTACATACAAACTCATATATTTCAGATGTTTATTTTGTTTAATTTTGATGATTACAAATGACAACAAATGAAAATCTCAAATTCATCATATCAGAAAATTAGAATATTACTGAAGACCAATAAAAACAAAGGATTTATAGAAATGTTGGCCAACTGAAAAGTATGAACATGAAAAGTATGAGCATGTACAGCACTCAGTATTTAGTTGGGCCTCCTTTGGCCTGTATTACTGCAGCAATGCGGCGTGGCATGGAGTCGATCAGTCTGTGGCACTGCTCAGGTGTTATGATAGCCCAGGTTGCTCTAATAGTGGCTTTTAGCTCTTCTGAATTGTTGGGTCTGGTGTATTGCATCTTCTTCTTCACAATACCCCATAGATTTTCTATGGGGTTAAGGTCAGGAGAGTTTGCTGGCCAATTAAGAACAGGGATACCATGGTCCTTCAACCAGGTACTGGTAGCTTTGGCACTGTGCGCAGGTGCCAAGTCCTGTTGGAAAATGAAATCTGCATCTCCAAAAAGTTGGTCAGCTGCAGGAAGCATGAAGTGCTCTAAAACTTCCTGGTATGTGGCTGCGTTGACCCTGGACCTCAGAAAACACAATGGACCAACACCAGCAGATGACATGGCACCCCAAACCATCACTGACTGTGGAAACTTTACACTGGACTTCAAGCAACGTGGATGAAGTGCCTCTCTTCTTTTCCTCCAGACTCTGGGACCTTGATTTCCAAAGGAAATGCAAAATTTACTTTCATCAGAGAACATGACTTTGGACCACTCACCAGCAGTCCAGTCCTGTTTCTCTTTAGCCCAGGCAAGACGCTTCTGACGCTGTCTGTGGTTCAAGAGTGGCTTGACACAAGGAATGCGACAGCAGAAACCCATGTCTTTCATACGTCTGTGTGTGGTGGTTCTTGAAGCACTCACTCCAGCTGCAGTCCACTCTTTGTGAATCTCCCCCACATTTTTGAATGGGTTTTGTTTCACAATCCTCTCCAGGGTGCGGTTATCTCTCTTGCTTGTACACTTTTTTCGACCACATCTTTTCCTTCCCTTCGCCTCTCTATTAATGTGCTTGGACACTGAGCTCTGTGAACAGCCAGCCTCTTTAGCGATGACCTTTTGTGTCTTGCCCTCCTTGTGCAAGGTGTCGATGGTCGTCTTTTGGACAACTGTCAAGTCAGCAGTCTTCCCCATGATTGTGTAGCCTATAGAACTAGACTGAAAGACCATTTAAAGGCTTTTGCAGGTGGATTGAGTTAATTAGCTGATTAGAGTGTGGCACCAGGGGCCATCAATTTTGAACCTTTTCACAATATTCTAATTTTCTGATATGATGAATTTGAGATTTTCATTTGTTGTCATTTGTAATCATCAAAATTAAACAAAATAAACATCTGAAATATATGAGTTTGTATGTAATGTATGAATATAATATACAAGTTTCACTTTTTAAATGGAATTACTGAAATCAATCTACTTTTTCATGATATTCTAATTTTATGACCAGCACCTGTACATTTGGGTTCTTAACCAACCTCCACCAAACCCTGACATCTCTTAATGAACATGTATCAATGTAAAAGCATGCAGGTGTGGAGTGGACGAGCTTTCACTAAGGGGAATAGTTTGCTATCGGTGACAAAATCTGTCATGAAGAAACCTTTTGAAAATCCAATATTCAGCCTAACACAGTTTAGGTTTAGAAGGTTTATTGAAAGTCTGTGATATGAGCAGGAATGTTGGGCGGAAGACTTGTAGAAGGCTTTAAGCACATGGGTAATGGCTCACAGGCTGGTGGCAGGCTTTAAGCAGACTGGTGGCAGGTTGATGGGTAATTTAGAGTCAATCAAAAGGAGCTTAATGTGGCCTAGCACCAAAAAAATGCTAAAAAACACTCTCTACGATCTAAACATTCTCATGTGTTTAACTTTTTAATGCTACTCATAGTGTCTCTAGCTGCATTTCCTTTCTCTTATTGAAAGATGAACAAAAATGTTTGCTAAAAAGCCACTTCTCTTGTAACTATTGTACACTCTGCAGTTGATAATGTAAACACTGCAAATGCAGTGTAAGATGTATGATGGTGACCTCAAATTTAAAATTCATATCCAAATCTAGCGGCACTGTGATGTCATCCAGTGTTTGTCACAATTGTGCAATTTGTCACTTTAAAACAGAGCACAACATGTTAGAATGGAGATGGTGAAATAAGAGTATCTTTAAAAGGGCTTTTATCTGTGGTATGACTGTTTAGCCATAAAACTCAGCTCATGCATTTTCTAAATTCATGTAAAAGTTGTTGTATGTTACGTGTATCTAGGCTGAACAATTAACAGCTCAGAATCTTCTTATCTAATCTATATTTCAGTGTCAGAACTTATAAGAAATAAAATCAGTTATTTTAACGATGGGCGTTAGAAGTTTTGTAAATATGCAAAACACAACCCGAATCCAGAAGGAAAATATTTGTTTTATCCAGCAGCTTCTTTCTATAGTTATTTCAGTCAGATTGAAAATCTTTCATCTAAAAACCGTCTATAACATCTAATTGAGGTCAATATTTCAGTTCAGAAAAAAAAAAACTCACACTAATAAATAATTGGTTAATAACTTTTCTTAAGGCATAATTGGTTATATATGCC